ACATACATAGCATGCATTTTATAATATCATAGATATATATTATAGCATACATACATACATACATACATACATACATACATACATACATACATACATACATACATACATACATACATACATACATACATACATACATACAACAGCATACATACATATAAGAGCATTTATGTAACATCATACATACATACAATAGCATACATATAACAGTAAACATGCATACATATAATAGCATACATATAATATCATATATACATATAATAACACACATGCCTACATACACATATTACCATACCTACATACATTTAATAACATACACACATATAATAGCAGACATACCTACATACATATATTATCATACATACATGCATATAATAGCATTTATACATATATATAATAGCACACATACCTACATACATATATTATCATACATACATGCATATAATAGCATTTATACATACATATAATAGCACACATACCTACATACATATATTACCATACATACATGCATATAATAGCCTACCTACACACATACAAACATACTTTACATAGCATAGCAAATCATAGCATGCATACATCATACATGACATAGCTTAGCATTGTATACATGGCATACCTACATATATAGCAGACCATATTATAGAATAGAATAGCAAAGCATACATGGCATACATAATAAATGATTATGATATATTTAGCTGATACATCGCCTTAGGCCGAGTTTCGAAGTTGTCACCGTTGCCGAATTATGACGTCGGCATTTGACGCAGTCAAGCACAATATAAGAGCGTGCCAGACGTACAGGATGTCTAAGAACATTATTTGTTATCAACAATTAAAGTATAGCTTCTGTGGGAATAAGATTATGCATTTAGAAATCTTTATTTTAGTTCGTTTTCGAGTTAAAGTTTTAACTACTATATATTCATTCTAAACACAAAACTTGATTTATTTATTCCTGGTCCTGACTGAAAAATTGTTTAGAATGCAAACGTGTTGGTCCAGATCAGAGACATATAAAGCCATAGTATAGACGTCTCTGCCCAGACAACAAGGATATGAATTTCCAAAAATATTGGTGTTAAAAACTCGCAAACTTCGATCATCACCTTATCATCACTAAAACCGGTTAAAGTAAGAATCACGCCGTTTCAGCTCCATTGAAATCAAGAGCTGTGGTGCTCTTGAATTCGACGTTGTCTTTTTTTCACGAAAATGACGTCATTTCCGCCACATTTGTTTTGACGTTCTGTTGCGTCGTTGCCAACTATGGCAGATTCCAGCTCACAAAGAACACATAAGGATAGGGAAATCAAAAAGATTATTGACCAAATAAGACGAGAATACAACTTTTACAGGTAAAAATATTGTCAAACCCGGTTAAAATGTTTGTCAAACCCGGTTAAAATGTTTGTCAAATCCAGATGTTGCTGCAACGTTCGGCTAACGCCATGCCGGGATGAGTGATATGAACGGTTACATTAACAGTGGTCATGATATGTCATCGAAAGTGTTTATTGCGGCGAGGATACTCTGTGGGTTTCTTAAAACTTATATTCCGACAAGCATGGATTATCTTTTCTCTTCTGTTTATTGAAAAAGGGCAGTGGTCGGGCAAGGGCCGGATATTTTACCGCTTATAACGACGGGAATTTCATTTTAAACAATACTTGTCAAACTTGTACGACATGACTGTATTAATTAGTGCCTATTTGGCAATGGCCTTGTTATTACTTAAGGGTAAATGACACAGTAATAGATCTGGATATAACTGGTCTGACACATAACGTTTTGGGTCTGCACTAATAATAATAATAATAATATCTTTATTTAAGGAGGGTTACATATTTAGTACAAGACTAATCTTCCATATGGCCCTCTCAACCATCATACAAACATGTTAACTGACATTAAAACAGATTATTATGCTAACTACAAAATCTTGGACAACAAATAAACATTATGAAAGATTACTGAACGCTACTATTGTTTATGAATATTTGGTAATCAGACTAACCTGCTGACTAGATATCTGAACGAACGTATCGTGAATTATATCAAATTATTATACAGATAAAAACAGTAAACAAACTATTTGACACATAAACTCTTTGCTCATTCGTACACACAGCATTCTTTCCCTGAGGAATACAGTTTTAATATAATTGAGCATATGTATATGTACAAAAAAATACATCAAAGTACGAGGTAACAATACGTTCACAGAAACTTTGTAAAATTTGACAGTTACCTGTGTGAATAACATTACTCATTTAAATATAGAGATAGCAGATGCTGCCTAAGGTGTTTCTTGAAAGAACAAACTGTGGTCGTATTTTTAATATTGACCGGTAAATTATTCCACAACATTGCTCCAGTGTAAGTAAATGATTTTTTGAATAATTCAGAATTTGGCCTTGGCAATATTAGATTTTGTTGAGATGTAGATCTCAATCCATATCTATACGTGTCAGTACACCTATTTAGACCAGCTTTAATGTAATCAGGTGCCATATCATTTAAAGATTTGTAGACTAATATAAATGTGTGGTATTTTACTCTGAATGTGAATGGCAGAGAAGTAATTTTCCTCAAAAAGGCTTTTACTTGGTGTTAACATAGGGAGATTTAAAATAATACGTAGAGCTTTTTTTTTAATTTTTATAATTTGAGTGGTTTGCTCTTTTGATAACCCATTTCCCCACACAATAGCTGCATAGTCGAGTATTGGAAGAATATACGAGTTATAATACACTTTCCTGGCTTCTGTAGTCAGATATCCACTCATTTTTCTAAGTAATGCAACGGCAATTGCCAATTTGGATATATATGCCCAATACCTTCTGACAGGACGACGACATAATTTCTTCTCCATTGACATACAGTTTTAATGGACTTTGAATGGAGAGTTTATGTTTATTTGCAATGATCATACAAGTAGTCATTTGCTGGTTAAGTTTCACATAAAGTGGCATATCATTAATATAGATAATAAGCATTAATGGACCAAGTATGGATCCTTGCTGTAGTCCAGCTTTGATTGTCTGGAAAGAAGAAGAACTGCTGCCTGCTCTAACTGTTTGGACTCTGTTTTGTAGATAAGATGAGAACCAATCCAGACTTGATGAAGTCACGTTTAAAATCTTTAGTTTGTGTAGAAGGATATTATGATCTACTAAATCAAAAGCCGTATTTAAGTCTATAAATATAGTACCTACTATTTCATTTTTATCAATACTGTCAATCCATTCATCAATTAGGTGGACAAGAGCAGTCTGACATTTAAGTCCAATTTATAATAGTGAATTACGGATTATCAGGATACTTTAATATGCTTTATTTATAGTATCCCTAAAATTAATCTATAGATAACCTATTGGAATTATCAAAGATAAACGGGGATAACCTTCTTTTCTAACCTAACTTGACTCACAATCAATCGGCATCATGTATAATTTACGTTTTACATCAAGTTATATTTCATTCAAGAGATTACATGGTTAGTTCAATCATGCAACCTGAACTGGTTATATAAATATTCCAAGATTTTCAGTAAAAAGAGTTAAATAAAAAATCAGTTGGAAGTAGGAGCATATTAAGAAATACAAACAGTGTGGTTTAAGGAGCGATAAATTCAAGGGCAGCCTGACATATTTTTTTCAAAACGAGTTATTTCCCTTGTGGCGCTACGATCGTATTTTCCGTATCATTCATTGGTCGATTAAACAGGAAAGAGGTAAATTCGAATAGGGAAGCCAGGTGGTGTTTACAGAGAGGATTTAGGTCGGAAACTAAAACAGAAAATTTAACGCTTATTATGTACAAGAATAAGTGAGTAATTGACACAATGAAACCACAGTAAGTATGTTTAATATTTAGATGTCTATTTGCCGGGCTTATGTGAATTCGTGGGAAATCGCTCGTGAGAACATAGCGGGAAAGAATCTTAATTCTTATCGGAGATTCGCGCGCCCACTCGTACTTTTTGACATACCTATTCAATGTTTATAAATCAAAACTAGCATCATTTTGTTGATGTTTTGATTCGTTTTGACATATTTATATTGTTGTCGTGTGACGAACTAGGTTCCTAAATCTGTCTGGTTTTATAATGGCACCGACTAGACATTTAAATCTCAAAATTGCTGTCTAACCCATTGATGAAGTTATTGTTCTGTCAGAAATATATGAATGTTGATAGGTCGTTTCTAGACATATGTGAAAGTCAGATTGACTCCTTTATGCTTTATTAAGGTGCATACTTGTGCTGAAAAACATTTAAGACATAAGTGGGGAAATATGGAGCACAGGTATATCTGCATCGGAATTCGAATATAAAAGCATATTTTATGCTTAAGTATCTATCCCCCTTCATTTTGAGTCAGATATTTCTACCTGTGGTTAGAGGAGAAACAGTTTTATAAACGATACAGGGATAATCCTTGAGGGGGCCATTGACCCCTCAAAACTGAAATTGGCCCCTCTTAATTTTGATATTGACTAAAAACATGGCCCACTGCTCTCAAATTCCAGGAGTTTTTCTGTGATAAACAGTTTCAGAATATATATATATATTTTTTATATAATTTGTTTATTTTTAAAGACATTTTTATTACATAAACACACATACACCCACATACATACAATTCCCATTTGCATGGTTTGTCTCTTGTATCGTCATATCTTTCATCATCCTCATCGTGACTGAATATCATCATCAGCCTTGTCAATCATCATCAATAGTAATACACCATTATCATCTTAATACATCATCAACAACATCATCATCAACAACAACATCATCATTCTATCAATCCATCAAATCCATCATCATCATTCTATCAACATCATCATCATCATCATCATTCTATCAATCTATCATCATCATCAACAGATGCATCCTTAATAATCATCAATACATCAGTCACATGCTACCATTAATATATATGTTCTACATATATATATAAAAATAGATATTGACAACCATACACAAATACTCATCCCACCATATATTCTGATAAACATTCACCTCGCACACACTTGTACATCTCACACACACAATACAGACAGATTTGTAGAGAGAGAGAGAGAGGTCCCATAATAATGCACATACATGTAAATAGTTTTACTTTATTCAGAAGTACATATGTAATTTAAAGGATAAGAGAAACATGGCAAAGTCAAGGCTTGGGATTCAGGAAAAAATACATATACATATTTATAGGATGACAGGTTATATCCAGGATAGGTTTCCATTTTCTCCAATCAATTTCAAATTTCCTTCTTATGTAACTGTTTTTACTATTGTTAACATAGTTCTGAACACGGAAATGGTCTTTGATGACATTGATAAGTGCATTGAGACTCAAAGATTTGTGAAGACATCTAGTCTTATATATATAGTGTTTGATAAGAATTAAAATCTCATTCCCATAAACAATGAACTATAGTTTTAGAATTTAGAATGTCTATTGAATGTTGATTTCTTAAAGACCTAGATCTACTGAAATTAAAATAGTAGCTTTTGAACAAGAAATTTCTATATTTATTAATTGATGTTTTATTTCTATGTTTAGTGTTTGATGTTTTATTTCTATGTTTAGTGTTTGATACCATGAAATTAAGAGAATGTGTAGTGATATGAAAAGAAGGCAAACATTTTAGCAAAACACTTTTTCTTACAGTGTATCATTAAATCTTATGCATCATAGAAAATATCTTCAAAGACAACTTGGTTAATAAAACAGTAAATGATTCTGATATCTCAACACTTGTAAGGATTTTCCTAGCGACCAGTTATGGCATAGAAACCACATGATGTAGACATGCTCGAGAAACTGTATGATGGTAATATTATATAATATCCTTCTCCTCCATTTCAGACGCGGAAAAACACCAAAGAAGAAGAATGCCGCCCAAACAGATCCAGTCGAGGTAAACTAAATAAGGATTAAAATATGTTAGTCTTAGATTGCAAGAGTCAATGACTGTTGTGGAAATTTCGAAATATACTGTTAGTTGGGAGGAAAAAACTTTGTCATTTGCTGAGACAAAACAAATTCCTGAACTGTTTGTACCCTAATGTTCTTTATCAAACAGATTTTATGTGAAAACAATCTATGGAAATATGTCACACTAGTGAAACTTCAATATCGACCTGCATGCTAGTATTCTAAATACGAAATTGTGTTTCAATTCAATTCAGAGTCCTAAAAATATAATACGTTTTATAATTACTGTACCTGTGAGATTAGAAATATAAAGCTGGGTGGGCCTGCTGTCCATGACTATCAAAGTTAATTCAGTGTGTGATATTGACCAGTCACTTATACCTCACAGTTGTGTTCCAGTGACCTTATCAGATTCATCCTAAATGGCCAAGTATTGCCAATTTACTTATAAAGTGCTATACAAATTTATATAAAAGATAAGGTATTTTTGAAAATCATGAAAATCAAAACTGCATATTAATTTTGGCTCCGGTGCAGGGAGAATTTATTTATCTGGCACCAATGCATTTGGTGAAATCACTCCCAACTTGCCCTATTTTTTTCAGCCATGTAACCTGAAATATACATTTTTTAAGTCTTTGTTGAATGCATGGTTTTGAATGTTTACAGGTGTATTGTCGGATACGTCCCCTGGAGAATCCAGACAATCCCACTTGTATCAAGGCTCTCAGCGACTCCGTCGTTCAGCTGATTCCTGCTCTGGTTTGTATAATTGGTCTAACAGCAACTGATGTGTCTCAAAAATTATTGAGTTCAAACGATAAATGTCTTTATTACAAATATTGTATAGAGTAATCTTATGTCTTTCTTACAAATATTGTATAGAGTAATCTTATGTCTTTATTACAAATATTGTATAGAGTAATCTTATGTCTTTATTACAAATATTGTATAGAGTAGTCTTATGTCTATTACAAATATTGTATAGAGTAGTCTTATGTCTTTATTACAAATATTGTATAGAGTAATCTTATGTCTTTATTACAAATATTGTATAGAGTAATCTTATGTCTATTACAAATATTGTATAGAGTAATCTTATGCTGCTGTTGCTGTAAGCAATACACATGAAGTATTAGAACTAAGATTTGTAATACGGTATGATCTGTTTCACTGTGAAGGGTCGAAACCAAAAGAGGATTTTCAAAATCTGATGTTGACGTGCTACTCCGAACACTTGTGTAAGAAGTCTGCTATACAATTAGGTTATTTTGACGAAAGATAGCCATGGAGTATTTCCATTTTGAAAAATATATTGACCAATCCGAAAGCTAAGTGTCAATTATCAAAGTAAAACAGATGTCCAACTGTAAAAAAATAACACCAGTGATATGATTTTTAACTTGAAAGGGGCTGGTCGGGGAAAAAAATTCAAAATAAATGGGTCTAAATGCATTTTCTGGCCTTCCAAAAGTTATACCACGGCAATATAATGGTCGAATTCTGCTTGCAATGTCCTGTTTTGACCACTGAAATCTCGTGGGAAGCCCTGCGTAAATCTACGCAGATCTATTTATATATGTCACGTGGTTGATTCGAAAGTGAGGCAGTGAAGATAACAACAATAGCACGCCGTCTATCAGCCATGTTGGACTCAACTAGTGGACAAGACAGCAATACTATACATAAATAATTGTTTTCAAATGTCATGTATGATGCAAGTGTAGTATTCCTTCCTATATGTTGTTGTTATATATATAACGGTATTGATACTTCGTGCCTGTCATGACTTTTGCATGCATCTTTTTCTTTCGCTGCGATGTTTACATTTGGCTTTGTTGATGATGCGCATGCGTTAAAATTACATCACTGATCTGGGTCAATTGAGATTTTTAGACTGTCAGGTGACGATTTAGGATTTCTTTAATATAATTATAATTTTTACTCTTAGGGAGTGAATTTCAGCAAAATTTGAAATGGTATGTTTCATAAGAATATATTTTAAACATGTGTAGGCCATTTTAGCAAATATGACATTTTTTTCCCGACCAGCCCCTTTAAGGAAGTTTGGAAACTTTTAAAGGACGAAAACAATATTTACATGTATTATAAATGTGTCATCTTACAAAATAAGTTTTGATTTTTTAAGGTTAACATTGGCATTTGGGTTAGGGTTACCCTAACCCTGACTCCTTAAAGAGGATATAACCATAGACCAAAAGCCGAGGGTAGTATCATCTTTCGAGGGTTTGAGTACCCATGGTAACCAAAATAGAGTTGTATGATATATAGTATTAAACCACTTCATTGTGGTCAAAGAAAGTTCTTGAAAATATTGTTTTTTTTCTCTCACCAGAATAATGAAAGGGTAACAAGAAATGGACAAGCGAAGGAGGTAAGTGTAATGGACAGTTGATACACTTTCTTCAAACAGGCCATGGGGTCATTTACCCCTCAAAACTGAAATTGACCCCTCCTTGTTCCAATTTTCTTTCAATTTTATATAGAATGGCCCCTCTTAATTTTGATATTGATGAAAGTGTCCCACTACTATCAAATTCTTGGATTTTCCCTGAAACAGAAACAGACTTCTTTTCTTTAATTACAGGTATTGAATTGATTAAGGGACAGAAAATGTCTCTTGTTTTCCTGCAATATTTTAAGTAGGTTCTGTGCTTTGGTTAAGTGTCAGTAAATACAGTGGCCTGTTTTCAAAGTCTGTCATTTATAAACCAAGTCCTTTGTTCCATGTTGCATGATTCAGAAAATTGTGTGGAAAGAAAAAAATATACAAAATTTCAAAACTTGGTTTGGTATACTTGTCTTTATGGAATTGTTCATTATATTTAGAATGGTTTCCAAGAGAATATTTATTGTATAAATTTGCATTTTGTAATTTGGGACAGAGTCGGTGACTGTTATAGGTTTCTTGGACTCGTCTCCTTTTTATACTTCATAATCATTAATGATAATGTCTATGTAGTGAATTATTTGGACTCCGGTAGTTTCAGAGTACTTTGTAGGAATTTTTGCAAACATTTCATATAAACCTGTCACACTTTGTTACTAATGCTGTTTTGCCTTTTCCAGTACCAGTACACATTCCAGTACGTATTTGATGAGTATTCGTCACAGAAAAAGATCTTTGACTATGTGGCGATGCCCTTGATGGAGGATCTCATCAACGGCAAAAACGGTAGGTAGTTACGCAGATAAGTAAACCATCCGATTAAGAGTACCAACCCGCAGGCAAATTTTGTCAAAGAAATGCTACCCCACCTGTACTTTCATCAAGGATTAACTTAAATATATTTTTCATGTTATGGAGATATAACACACAAAAATGGAGTGTACTCGAAAAAAACTGCGACGCAGTTTATGATGAGAGTACACTCTGTTTTTTTGTGTTATAGCTCCATAACATGAAAAATATATTCAAGTTAGTCCTTATAATTTAATCTACCTTACACAACCCCTGTGGAGACCAACTTTTATTGATGGACTCTTTTCTTTTAGAAATTATTGCGCTGCAGTATCGGCCAATCAAAAGCAACGTTACAAACGTCGACTTCATTTTTTTACGTTATGGACTGATAACACAATTTTTGAAGCCAATGAAAATGCTTGTTACAAGCATGATTAAATTATTAGAAAATATAGAGAAAACAATAGTCCTGACATAAAAGCAAGTTACTGGTGTTACGCTTTATATGGTGTACACCACACAACAAAACCTTTCTAGCTCATTTTACAACAACCTGTTGCAACAAGATTTTGGGGAAAATAGTAAACAAATTTCAATTAAAATGGCAAATGCCTCATTTCTTCATTTTGAGAATTCACAACTCACTTTAACTGGGAAAGCAATTAAGTGATTAAGAATTAAATAAGATTTAACAAAGTAAAGCAACATGTGTATCATGTCCTGAAGTTTAGTACATTTTTTCATTTTCCTTATGTTTTTATAGAAGATAAATAGTTACTGATTTTAGAAAAAAAGGGTACATGCCTCAATTCCTGGGATACAACATGCTGAGGCCAAAAAGAAAATGTGTGTTTCAGGATACCGACCTACCCTTTATTTTACTGTCGACCCTGGATATTTGATCAACAGCTTTTATCTAAGATTAATTTGTTAGTCAGGCAAAGCTCACAGCCACTCATTAAAATGTACTTTCTTCCTGCCCTGGTAGTCTGACCCTATTCTTGACAAATTATTAGCCATTGTCATGTGTGGAAATGCATTGTAAAATTTTAAATAAAGCATAATATTAATTCATGAATTAATATGAAGTTATTTGCCTTCCGACCTATCTATTTTGGCCTGATTTGATTGAGGGGCGAGAGCAGGGGAGGGGTTGGAGTTTGTAGAAACTTGTTTACTGTTATCAGAACATTTGTATGGAATGGAGTAGATGTGAATTCTTTGCTAACTACCTGCCTTCACATTCAATATCCGCTATTGACCCTTTGTATTGACTTGGCACACCTACAGTTGTATAATTTATCCTGTGTTGCAGGTCTGCTGTTTTCCTATGGGATCACATCGTCTGGGAAGACCTACACTATGACAGGGATGCCACAGGATCAGGGCATCCTACCTCGCTGTCTTGATGTCCTCTTCAACAGCATTGAGGGACTCCAGGCCAAGAAATATGTACGTCACACTGGGTGAACACACCGTTATATTTATATTTCTGTTTCTTTGCTGTTGTCGTATGTTATAGTTGCACAAAATTAAATCGTTTGTAGCAATCTTGACTTTATCACAGCTGTTTCAGAAGGCACTTATGAATTTGATTTGTTAATGCAGTTAAAATAATTGTGACTATTTGTACAGTGACCAGGACTGCCACAATTCAACCTGTATTCTATTTGATTTTTATGTTTCATTAAGTTTTCTAAGTAGAATTCTGACTAAAATTTTCTCTTGAAATCAAACAAAATTTTATTGCATCATTTCTATTATACTTTGGCTGAGACATCACCAAAAATGTTCAACTTGTTTGGTCGTCAAGTCTTTATAACAGGATAAGACTACATTTGATTGTCCTCAATTCCGTCTTTGCGTATTGCAGAGTTATCTTCTCTTGGGAGGAGGTATTGATTGTTACGTCATTGGTTTGTGCGGGAAAATTCATCGTTTTCTCAAAAATTGATGACATTACTCTCACAAACAAGTGACGCAACAATCAATACCTGCTCCCAAGAGAAGATAACTCTGCACTACGCAAAGACGGAATAAGCCGCCAGAGTTAAAACAGTTATCCTTAGTATCCTTTTTCTTTAGGCACATCGTATCCAAAAGTGATTAGACTAAACCAATGTTGTGTGAGTGTCCGTTGAGGCTAGTAGAAGACTGCACATTTCACCCTAAACAAGCACACATTGCTTGTTTATATTTGTGTTATGCTGATGAAGACCAAATAGCTGTTTTAGTCCTTACAGTGACGCTGTTCCTGATGTAACCTTTCTTCGTCTGTTATGTTGTATCAATGAATGGTTCACTGAGATTGGGAAAAAGAGAAAGTATCTGGCTGGTATGGGTCAGAAAAAGGTGCATTTTGTATCGATGGTATTTCTTGACTAGCCTGGGCCTTTTCAATTACCCTAAAAACTTGACTCAATGAATTGTTTGTGCGAGAGATTTATAAAAACAATTCTATTTCGTCCTTAATCAACAAATTGTTATAAAGATCTTCAATGAACTATGTATGGTTTGGGCCTTTATTGGTCCCCAAATCCATCAAAATTAAAAATCTTCAATAGAACTTTCAAATGACTGTTTCTTTTGTTTTTAATACTTCCCTTGTACTACTATGTAAACATTTATTTAGGTTTTCAATTATGGCTGTCATGGTAACCAGTTAATATTTTGCATAAATTAATGAAATTTGAATGTTCAGTAAATTTTGACAGGTTTTTGCCTAGTTTTTCTCTTAGTTACCATAGAGCGCACTCTTGAACAAATGTTATATTTCTCCTAAAGATGTATTACAGGTGCCTACACGTTATCCATTGATTTTGAGTTTGTTCAAGCATGCACTCTACAGTTTCCAGGAGAAAACCTATGCAAAATATGAAAAAATTCACTGAATATTCATTTTTTCTAATTTACGCAAATTTGAACTTATCACCATGGCAACAATATTAAAATTAGAAATACAAATAAATATTTTCATTATAGTGTTTGGGAAGTATTCAAAATAAATGAAACAGTAATTTCAAAGTTCATTCAAAGGTTTTGAATTTTGATGCATTTGTGGGCCAAAACATGGCAAAACCATACATAGTCCTTTATATCTGATTCGATCTTGACAGGTGTTCAAGCCAGACCGAATGAATGGTTATGAAGTACATAGTGAAGTAGATGCAATGATTGAGAGACAGAAAAAGGACATACTTCCCGGAATGACAACCCCGAAAACTCCCAGTTCAGCAAGACACAGGTAAGACCACCCTGAAAACTCCCAAGTACATTGAGACTTAGATAAGACCACCCCAAAAACTTCCAGTACGTGGAAACAAATCTATGACCACCCCGAAAACTCCCAATTCAGTCGGACACAGGTAAGGCCAACCCAAAAACTGCATGTACACAAACAAAGGTAAGAACACCCCAAACCACCCTGAAAACTCCCAATTCAGTCAGACACAGGTAAGGCCACCCCAAAAACTGCATGTACACGGACACAGGTAAGACCACCCCAAACCACCCTGAAAACTCCCAATTCAGTCGGACACAGGTAAGACCACCCCAAAAACTGCATGTACATGGACAAAGGTAAGACCACCCCAAAAACTACATGTACACAAACACAGGTAAGACCACCCCAAAAACTGCATGTACCCAGACACAGGTAAGACCACCCCAAAAACTGCATGTACACAGACACAGGTAAGACCACCCCAAAAACTGCATGTACACGGACAAAGGTAAGAACACCCCAAAAACTACATGTACACAGACACAGGTAAGACCACCCCAAAAACTGCATGTACACAGACACAGGTAAGACCACCCCAAAAACTGCATGTACATGGACAAAGGTAAGACCACCCCAAAAACTACATGTACACAAACAAAGGTAAGAACACCCCAAACCACCCTTAAAACTCCCAATTCAGTCGGACACAGGTAAGACCACCCCAAAAACTGCATGTACACAGACACAGGTAAGACCACCCCAAAAAACTACATGTACACAGACACAGGTAAGACCACCCCAAAAAACTGCATGTACACAGACACAGGTAAGACCACCCCAAACACTGCATGTACACAGACACAGGTAAGACCACCCCAAAAAACTGCATGTACACAGACACAGGTAAGACCACCCCAAAAACTACATGTACACAGACACGGGTAAGACCACTCCAAAAACTGCATGTACACAGACACAGGTAAGACCACCCCAAAAACTACATGTACACAGACACTGGTAAGATCACCCCAAAAACTGCATATACACAGATATCATCTCTTAATACTCAAAGACACAGATACGAAACAACCCCCAACCCCTAAATCTGTAAGTACACTCAGACACAGGTATGAGACGGTAAATTTTGATGTTGTTCCAGTCTGTATATTTAGTAAGAAAGTTGTTGTTACTACAGGGACGGTTATGAGATGGAGGACCACGGCCGTGTGGAGGATGGAGACCGTGTCGATGGTGTGGACGAGGACAACAACTACACCGTGTTTGTGTCCTACACGGAAATCTACAATAACTATGTGTACGACCTACTGGAGGAGCTTCCCTGGGACCCAATAGTGGGCTATAAGTAAGTGAAGATCAGAAGTGGGCTAAACATAAATAAGGGCCCAGTGTAGGCTAAAAAAGTGTGACCCTAATTAAAAGTCAACAATTGTACAAGCCCAATAGTAGACTGCAAGCATGTTTATCCTAGAAAAGGGAGTTACTTCATTAACAAAAATCCTTTATTTTAAGGAATCTCGTAGTTTGCTTCAAATATGTGTATGCTACAAATTTGCAGGTGCCCCTGGTAGCTAGAAGCAAGTTTATCCCCCATTCTCAAATATTTGGTGTGAATGTGGGCCCCCATAGATGCAATTTTAGCACATCAGATTTTAACTTTTAAGCACATTGATGAGTTGGTATACTAAAATGTTATGAAAAACAAGACTTCAATTTTTAGTTCTATCACAATTTTAGCACAAATAAGATTATCACTGAAACATGTACATTAAGTACAGTGGACCCTGTCTAAACCGGACACCAATGGGACCATATTGTTTGACCGGTTTGTAGAGAGTTCCAGATTGTAGAGAGTCTGCTTAAATATTGTTTCTGAATGTAATGAGAACTAAGAACACATACATATGCAAATGATGTATTTTGTTCATAAATACAAAGTGTTTGTATTCCTGTTCACTATAAGACAACAATACTGTAATAATTCAGTTATATCGCCTGCAGTTATGATAGGAAAAAAAGGTTTGGCTGTCTTAGAGACAGATCAGGATTGGACAAAGTGTGGTTTTACACATTCCACTGTACTTCTATAATCCTTGTGGTTACAGGCCGCCCCAGTCGAAGCTGTTGAGGACGGACTGCCAGGACACCATGTACGTGATGAACTGTGTGGAGGTGGAGTGTAAGAGTACACAAGAGGCCCTCAACATCCTCTACAGAGGTAAACACTGACTTGTTACCTTGTCATCTAAAATTAGCATGCTTGATTGATGTGAGAACATCTAAACCATGTAAGATAACTTAACATTTATTGTTGTAATTTGCTGGACTGCTGCTCACTTTTTGCAATTTCCATATAAATTTATGAGAAATTCACTAAATATCTGGAAATTACTAGTAACCCTTAGAGTGCTACATTAAAATAACGGTAACCAATCAGTACTGAATTAATTAGGAAAATTGAATTTTCACTACAGTTCAAATTTAGATATAACTTCATAAGTCACAATTTTAGTAAAAATATTGCACAAATAATACTTGTATTAATATTAAAACATATTAATACCAATGGAAATTGGTTACTTGATATGTTTAATTAAATTTAAATCAACACGATTAGCTGTTGACCATATAAAATACCATTTTATAGAATGTGCAACTATAGTTGTGACTAGCAGTGGTGGTCACAGACATACAGCGCAACTATGGTTGTGACTAGCACTCAAAGGGTTAAATATATATTGTGATACATTGCAATATTTCCCAAACATAAATATAATGCACTTCATTGCAATATGGATGGTGCTTGCAATACCAAACCCTACGTCTAACTGTGTATATTCAGGGCCTACATCTAACTGTGTATATCTTCAGAGCCTACATCTAACTGTGTGTATTCAGGGCCTACTTCTAACTGTGTGTATTCAGGGCCTACATCTAACTTTGTGTATTCAGGGCCTACATCTAACTGTGTATATTTAGGGCCTACATCTAACTGTGTATATATTCAGGGCCTTCATCTAACTGTGTATATTCAGGGCCTACATCTATCTGTGTATATATTCAGGGCCTACATCTAACTGTGTGTATCCAGGGCCTACATCTAACTGTGTGTATTCAGGGCCTACATCTAACTGTGTGTATTCAGGGCCTACTTCTAACTGTGTGTATTCAGGGCCTACATCTAACTGTGTGTATTCAGGGCCTACATCTAACTTTGTGTATTCAGGGCCTACATCTAACTGTGTGTATTCAGGGCCTACATCTAACTGTGTGTATACATGGCCTACATCTAACTGTGTATATATACAGGGCCTACATCAAACTGTGTATATATACAGGGCCTACATCTAACTGTGTATATATTCAGGGCCTACATCTAACTGTGTGTATACAGGGCCTACATCTAACTGTGTATATATACAGGGCCTACATCTAACTGTGTATATATTCAGGGCCTACATCTACCTGTGTATATATTCAGGGCCTACATCTAACTGTGTGTATACATGGCCTACATCTAACTGTGTATATATACAGGGCCTACATATAACTGTGTATATATTCAGGGCCTACATCTACCTGTGTATATATTCAGGGCCTACATCTAACTGTGTGTATACAGGGCCTTCATCTAACTTTGTGTATTCAGGGCCTACATCTAACTGTGTATATTAAGGACCTACATCTAACTGTGTGTATTAAGGGCCTGCATCTAACTGTGTGTATTCAGGGCCTACATCTAACTGTGTGTATACAGGGCCTACATCTAAATGTGTATATATACAGGGCCTACATCTAACTGTGTATATATACAGGGCCTACATCAAACTGTGTATATATACAGGGCCTACATCTAACTGTGTATATTCAGGGCCTACATATAACTGTGTATATTCAGGGCCTACATCTAACTGTGGGTGTTAAGGACCTACATCTAACTGTGTGTATTAAGGGCCTGCATCTAACTGTGTGTATTCAGGGCCTACATCTAACTGTGTGTATTAAGGCCCTACATCTAACTGTGTGTATTAAGGGCCTACATCTAACTGTATGTATTCAGGGCCTACATCTAACTGTGTATATATTAGGGACCTACATCTAACTGTGTGTATACAGGGCCTACAACTAACTTTGTGTATTCAGGGCCTACATCTAACTGTGTATATTAAGGACCTACATCTAACTGTGTGTATACAGGGCCTACAACTAACTTTGTGTATTCAGGGCCTACATCTAACTGTGTATATTCAGGACCTACATCTAACTGTGTATATTCAGGTCCTACATCTAACTGTGTGTATACAGGGCCTACAACTAACTTTGTGTATTCAGGGCCTACATCTAACTGTGTATATTAAGGACCTACATCTAACTGTGTGTATACAGGGCCTACATCTAAATGTGTATATATACAGGGCCTACATCTAACTGTGTATATTCAGGACCTACATCTAACTGTGTATATTCAGGTCCTACATCTAACTGTGTGTATACAGGGCCTACATCTAACTGTGTATATTCAGGGCCTACATCTAACTGTGTGTATTAAGGACCTACATATAACTGTATATCCAGGGCCTACATATAACTGTATATCCAGGACCTACATCTAACTGTGTATATTCAGGGCCTACATCTAACTGTGTGTATTAAGGACCTACATCTAACTGTGTGTATTAAGGGCCTACATCTAACTGTGTGTATTCAGGGCCTACATCTAACTGTGTGTATACAGGGCCTACATCTAACTGTGTATATATTAAGGACCTACATCTAACTGTGTGTATACAGGGCCTACATATAACTTTGTGTATTCAGGACCTACATCTAACTGTGTATATTCAGGGCTCGTCAGTCACTACTGAGACCAGTCCAAGCAATTGAACAAACTTAACTGCCAAATTGTCTGGAAAAAAAGTTACTTGAAACTCAGAAAAATTAACGTAAAATGCAAAAAACTTGTTTTTCTCCTTATTATTTCAGATTTACCTACACAGTTACAGAGTTCATTTTCAAATCTCTGTTCTTTTTTGTCAATGAGTTAATGTTGTTGGTTGTGTTTCTTCAGTTTTGTATTTTGAGTGTTGACTTATGATGGAATGTTTGTTATCTCAGGTCAGAAGAGAAGGAAGGTGGCTCACACAGCACTGAATGCTGAATCAAGTAGAAGTCACAGTATATTTAACATTCGTCTCGTACAGGCACCACTGGACCCAAGGGGAGAGGAGGTCCTACAGGTAATTATAATTGAGGGTCATTATAGTCTAACCTTGTACATGTGTCGCTAGGAGAGGGGAGGTCGTACAGGTAAGATCTAAGGTAGAGGGGTGTTATAGTCTAACCTTGTACATGTGTCACTAGGAGAGGGGAGTTCCTACAGGTAAGATCTAAGGTAGAGGGTCGTTATAGTGTAACCTTGTGCATGTGTCGCTAGGAGAGGGGAGGTCCTACAGGTAAGATTTAAGGGAGAGGGTCGTTATAGTGTAACCTTGTACATGTGTCGCTAGGAGAGGGGAGGTCCTACAGGTAAGATTTAAGGTAAAGGGTCGTTTTAGTGTAACCTTGTACATGTGTCACTAGGAGAGGGGAGGTCCTACAGGCAAGATCTAAGGTAGAGGGTTGTTATAGTCTAACCTTGTACATGTGTCACTAGGAGAGGGGAGGTCGTACAGGTAAGATCTAAGGTAGAGGGTCGTTATAGTGTAACCTTGTACATGTGTCACTAGGAGATGGGAGGTCATACAGGCAAGATCTAAGGTAGAGGGTTGTTATAGTCTAACCTTGTACATGTGTCACTAGGAGAGGGGAGGTC